ATCATTTAATAACAATCATTTAATAACAACAATATTTGTTGTTAAAAATGCATATAACATTCAAATTTGAAGCAATAAAATAATAATCTTTGCAACCGTACATTTATCGTCGAAATAAAATTGGGCGGTGATACCCGACATTCAAGTGAGCGGGGCTACCCGAAATCCCATTTTTTTGTAAATTTGTAATTACTCGAACAATTTTTCACATATAAACTTCTTTCTTCGTGCAAATAAAACTTAAGACTTCATACTTTAATGCTGTGTGTATACAAAAAATTATTTTTTTAGTATTAAAATGAAGTTTAATCGAAACATTCAACCAATTTTTCTTAATTTCATGACTACTGTATTCAACATATTTTCAAAACTATTGTTTACCTTGTTAACAGCTGCATAAATGCTTGAAACTTTGAAAATAATCTTTTTTTAATTGTATAACAATTAATGTCCGCTGCCCCATTGACTTGCAAAAATATTCTATACATATGAAATTGACTGTAGGCGGGCCTACCCGACTCTCCCCTACCTATATTGCCCAATAGCAGTCAAGATGACTGGATTGTAAAAGAATAACTAATGTGTAAAGAAATTTGTTTAAAATTAATTTTTAATATTATTTAAAGTTAGATAGCAAGTTATTAGTAAATATTAACCATAAAAAAAATTTTATGTTGAACAAAAGTCACAAAATTCTAAGAAATTGTGTCATTATATACATCATTGTTTTTCTAATTGAAATTAAAAAGCAGTCAAAATGACTTCGCGCAATCTAGTGCTGTGTGGCTCTCTGCGCTTCTTGTATTAGGTCTGGTAAAAGTTTTAAAAATAAGTAGTCTTAAAAATATATATTTTAATATTTATTTTAAAATATGTATCATTAGTGTTTTATTTCATATATTTATTTTTAGTTTTGTTTGCTACTTTATTTACATTGGAAAACGGTCGAAATTTTGGTTAGAAATAAATTTTGTTTCCATTATTTAGATAATAACTTTAACTTGTATAAGCATGAGAAATAAAGTTTCAGTTATAATTTGAGCACTCCAGCTAATCAAAAAGTGGTTGAAATTTCGATTAAGGATAAATTTCATTTGGTGATGAAATGGCATTTTTTGTTACTCTCGAAGTGAGTGAAACTGACATTCGTTTAGTTTTGAACACTCAAATTTGTTGGAAAGTGGATTGATTGATAAATTTTTTTATATGACGCTAAACTTCATTTGGTAATGACAAATTCGACTTGTAACTCCAGACCAAATTTGAGCATTCTAATTATTCAAAAAATTATCAAAAATTTAACTGAAATTTGGTGATAAATTCTTCTTGTAGCAGTTAGAAAATGATTGAAATTCGTTTAAATATTATAATCAGTGTGCTTCAGACCGCTGTGTCCTAAGATTAGATGAAATGAGGTTTAAAGATAGATCAGTTTTAATGACGATAAATTTCGCTTGGCGTTAAAAATGACGCCAAATTCTGCTTGTAGCAGCCAGGAAAGAATTGAAGCTTGCACTATCTTCAGGCACAAAGCTCTAATAAAGGTTTAAGGACTCTAGCTAGTCGGACAGTGGACGAAATTGCGATTGAAAGATCTCCTACCGCCCAGCACACTAGAAAGGGAGTTAAAACAGTGAAAGTACAGTCGGACTTCGATTTAACGAACTTCCATTTTGCGAATTTCTCTATTTTGTGATTTTTTCTTCTTCGTGGAACCATGAACATTTTGGAAATTTCTTCAGAAAATGACTTCCAAATAGAGAAATGAATTTTCCAATTAAAGAGCTTTTCCTTGTGATCCACTTTTCCTATTTCCCAAAATATTCCAGAACTTTTCAAACTTTTTGTTAGCATTTCAAACAAAAAACTCAGACAAAATTTACGGATTTTATCAGTTGCAATTAAACTTAAGAACGCGTGTATACTTGAAATGTGTATACTTTTTGAATGTATACTTAAAATTACTTTTATAATAAATGCAGCTATAATTTTATACATAAATTTAGCTTTTTTTAGTTGAAAATGTATGTAGCATGATAGTGTAACACTGGATTATGTTTTGCTCTTTTCTTGCTTTCCATGCAAATTTCTTTTATGGTTAATATTTATAAAATAAACAGTAGAGACCAGTTTACGAGATAAAGGTGTATCAGTTGCTATTTTAATTATGTCTAGTGTTTATAAATTTAAAACCTGTTTTGCGTCGTTTAAGTATTTCAAATGGTGATTTTCTATTTAACGAATTTTCCATATAGCCAACTTTTTATCGGGATTCAGCGATATGTTAAATAGTAATAATAATAAATATTGTACCGACTGTTATAATAATAATAAATAATGTAATATGAAAAATACTGGAAATGGAAGAGATCAGGCTTGTAAATAAATAAATTTTTTATTTCTTCCAGGGTGATTTGAGTGAAGTAAATAATTCTGAATGCATTCTTCAATGCTCTGTGTCCAACAACTGCAAAGCCTTGACTTGTTGTGGCCCGATCACAGGCGGGCCCGAATGCTCAGCACGCTTACGATGCAACGCGAATGAAGCGATCGCTTTTGCCAAAGAAAACAATCTAAATCAGATTCCAAACAAAATCGAGAACAATCTGTATCATCTGGAACAGATGCCCGCCAAAGTGGAAAATCACCAGAACAATCTCTATTTGTACCAGGACGAAAAGGATTCTGAATTTTTCCCGTTGACGTCCGACTATGATTTTAGCACTTTTAGAACAACTAGAGAAACCACAATGTGATATGCACGGAATTTGTATTGTGTTAAAGTTACTACGCTCAATTTACTATAGTACTTACTCGATCAATTTTATTTTTAGTTTTGTATGTGCAAGTTGCAAGGAAAAATCAGGAGTCTATCAAATAACTTTAGAACTTAAAAAATTGCTAATGGAACAAGTGCCTTATATTCCAACGCTAAAAAGGACATCAGTGCCCTCTAGTGATGAAATTCCTGGGAAATCGTTCCTTTTTTTCAAAACTACATTATTTAGGTATCATTCGTACGATTCACAAGATATAAAAAGTAAAATATAATTATAACTATTATAATTTATTATATTTTACTACAAATTATATTTTAGTCAAGAAATGATGAAATTACTTTGTTAGCAAAAATTAGACACTTGTCTAATACTGCAGCTTTATCAGTTAACATGCTAAAAAAATCAAAGAGAAGAACGGTTTATGTCCATGAAAATTGATTATGAGAGAAAAAAAAATGAATTTCAAAGCGGGCATGAAACGTTTCTCCTTATCTTCACATAGTAATAACTCTCGGGGGGAAAACGATAATAATCCTCAAAATGCAACAGATAGAGATCGAATCGTCATTTTTCGAAAAATGGACATTAACCGTTCTTCCCTCTTGATCTGTATTTGTAATTACATACTGATTTTACATGACATCCTGTTGGAGCTTTATTTTCAAATCAATTTAAAGTTTCATAATTTATAAATTACTTTTAAATTGTTATAAATAAAGAATATAGAACAATATATAAATGTAAAACAATTTGTTATAAGAAATTTTTACTGCAAATTTAAAAATCAAGCCTATAGATTTAGAACTGAAGAACTTCCCATATCATGTATCAAAATTAGAAGAGAAATTAAAAGAAAAATGCTTCATAGCTTTTTAATATTTTTGTTACTATTTTTTGTAATGTTTTACAAGTTTGTTGCTTCTCTTTAATTGAAACATTGAAAAAAAACAGAGTTTATTATATATATATTGTATGTTCTCTATAATATTTGATCGAATATTTTTGATGAATAATAAACCATAATATTAGATAAATTTATATTTGATCTTATATTAAATTGATTTACTTAAGTTGGATTACAATTTTTTAAGAATAAATACTATGTGGTGCTACAACATTATGATATTATAGATTGTAAATAAAATTTATACTTTTGTACTTCTTATTTTGTTTAATTAATTCTAATTACAAAACTAGTATTCGCTGATGGAAAATGATAAATGTCATGGCGAAATCCGAACTATGAGATTATCAGATATCATAGATCGAATATGATATTGAAATTCAGATAATTTAAGACAAAACAATATGTTGTAAGGGAAAAAAAAAAATTTTAAAAATCACCAATATAACTTTTGAGATAGTTCAATAAATTTTTCATTTGCTAAAAATCAATCTTAATATTCAGATGAATATACTTTTAATATGCTTATCAGTGAGTAATAATTACTATTAATGAACTTGGGTCTACTTTTAGAGGTTCGAGCCTACCACTTCTTGTAAACTTTTTATTTGTGACCCTGCCCACCCAACCCTGAGATGCGTAAACGTCATATTAAGTGCCGCGGTGGCTAAGTAGGTAGAGCGTCGCCTTTCCAATGAGGTGTCCCAGGTTCAAATCCCAGTAGTGGCTTCTTAATACGAATTCTGCTCCTGGTTCGCATTGACCACGGTACTAATGTAAAATATCCTCAGTGGTAGGCGGATCATGGGTTAGAATCCCCTTGCCGTCGAGCTAACCATGGGAGGTTTACGTGTTTTTCCTATCCATGTAAAGCAAATGTAGGACTGTTAAATCAAAAAGTCCCACACGAAGACTAGTCAGTCCAAATGCTTGATCCAGAAGTTTCCTTGTCTTCTGTATTGTGTTCAAAATCAAAAGGCTTCGGAGTTGAATATTGATAGTTGTAAACTCAGAATTGGGTCTGCCATTCAAAGCCGGTCATAAGGAAAATGTCATATTAAAACCATTTTTAAAAGAAAAAATAAATAAATAAACTATATTATTCGAGATGACCTATTTTTGAATCATAGCATGAGATTTAATACTTTCTTAAATGCTTGAATTTAATAAGTTTTACATTTTTCTATACTTATTTTTAAAAAAAGCAGCTGTTTTTTACGTAATTCTTAACCTTTCATGTAAAAAAGGTTATGAAATTGGACACAAAAGCTTTTTTTTTTCCTCAAAGGATACAGATTCTCGACCCTCAAAATATCGGGCTGGGAAATAATGGGGGGGGGACCAACATGAACAAGATGGTTACCATCATAAGCATCTATCAAAAACCATCTTACTTCTTGATGGTACCATCAAGACCAACCATCACCCCATAGGAAATAGTAGTTTAATCAGAAGAATGATCGAAAATTCATATATTTACGCGAATAATTAAAGCATAAATTTTGCACCCATTTATGACATTCATTTGTCCAAAAATAACTGCATTTAAAAATATTTTTTAGCCATTTATTACTAATTTCTTTATTAAAAATCTTTTTTTTTTTAATTAAAAGGAATAAAAAATTTATATCTTGTTAAATAATATTTAATTTTATAAGGCAAAATCCAAACTTAAATGAAATAAAGCGACTTTAAGAATTAAGAACTTAAGAAGCTTCTTCGTCGCTTTAAGAAGCTTCTTCTTAAAGCGACTTTAAGAAGAAGCGATTAAGAACTTTAATGACTATGAATTACAGGTATTTTGAAAAATTTTGGCAATTTTGAAACCTAGAACTTGCTTTACATGTACAATTTGTTTCAAACATTTGTACAGGTAACCCGAGTAAATAATGTTTTCTTTCGATTTTCTTTTTAATCGTTTTTAAAGGGCATTAATGATTGATGGTATTTCAACGTAGCCGATTATAGAGAATCTAAAAATAAATTGATCTTTCTGTTTCGAAATTTAATTATTTAAATTTATTATCACTCGTATCATGTGAATGTCAAAAATTACACTTTATCTAGAAGCACCCATGTTTGAGAACTATACGTGTTAAAGTTTTTTAAGATACTTTATTTTTAATTTTATTTGAAATAAAACATATGTTGGAAATCAGTCTTTAAGTATTACCGTAGAGCTCAATGCTACTGATATTCTTTCTGTCGAAATAATTTCAATTTTAAAGTGTTCAACTTTATTACAACTTCGCGAATTTAAACATAAAGTAAAGAAAACCCAAAAACACTTTGAAGAATAATAGGTACAAAATCTCAATTTAATTGACATTAAAAAACTTTATAACTAATTATCGTTTTAAACGCATTCCAATATTACGAAGCAAAAATAAATTATTGTATAAAATTTGAATGGGAAAATAACAATGCCTGCTGAAACTAACAGAATTTTTAAATGGGCAGTTTAAACTGGGCATATTTAAAAAAAAGCTATAGAGAAAAAGGCAAAAGAATAAAAAATAAATAAATATTGATTTATAGCAAAAATATTTATATTAACCAATAACTTTTAAAAATGAATATTAGCTATGAAGTTATTCAACACTCTGTTGTTGGCTAGGGGGTAATGGAATCACAATTCAGTGACCAACGACATTATATGGGCAATGGGGGGTCAGTATTACGCACCGATCGCCTTTACTTCTCAGAAAAGCTGATAACCAACAATCTGAAGATGCTTGGACTTCAAGTCGCCACCGGAGATCGTAAATCACAGCGACGGCTCAGCTCTTTAACCACTAAGCCATCGCGAATAATTAATTTCACTATTTTAAAATGCTTCAGTATACAGTATGAAATTGTACATTAAATTACTCCTTAATTTGTAAAATCACAAATAATTCAAACAATCTGATTTTTTTTTTTAAATTTTTGTTTATAATAGAAACACATAATAGATAAACTCAAATAGAAGAAAAACAAGAAAGAGAAAAATTTATGGAAATTAATGGCATAAACCATTATTATGATTAATGAAATGTTTAATAACTTGAAAAGACTTAACTATAATAATAATTTATACAATTTGAATACAAATTAAATATTTTAGCATAAGCATTAAAAATATAAAATTAAAAATTTCTCTTAAAAATTTGGATTATGAAAACTGGAAGTAATTTGGTAAATATGAAAGAGTTTCCCTAAAAGATTTAATTGATTTTTAAATTCGTTTAATTGTATGCGGTATAATTAAATTCCTTTTTAAATTTTAAAATAAGAAGGTCAACACTAACTGAAAAACTAACTATTTTTTGTATGGAGGAGGACGTATGGATTTTTGATTTTGTTTCAGTTTGATATATTAAAACATATGAAAATGAATGAAGACAAAAAATTTTAGAAAAAATCAAAAGCATAAAAACATTTTTTTTATTAAAAAAAATAGTAATAACTTTAACATAGTTAGTTTTATTATATCACATTCGGGATTTAGTCTAAGGAGCAACACTGATTTCACAAAAATGAATCAGTCTTACACAAATTAAATGAATAATTTTTTATTTTGTTTATATTTATGTTGACACATTTTAGACACACAACAGAAAAAGATAAAAATTCAAAAATATATATTATATAATTTAATATATTATACTAAATTTATTATATCGAATATTTTGTATTAAATATATTGTATCAAAAATAATATTTAAAAAACGAAAAATGAACAAGTTTATTAAATTTTATAAACAAAAAAACAATAACAGTCACTATTCTTACAAAATTGATAGAAATTGAAACGTACATTTATATGATTGTAAATCTTTTTTCTCTTTCTGTAAAATGTATTTTAAACTAATAATATTTTCAAAAAATTAAAAACAACAAAATAAATATTTTTTTTAAATTGAAATATATATTTAACTTTGATAAGTATAAATTTATCTCTATATTATTTAACAAACACCTCTGATTTCATACCGACTTTCAAAGCTTGGCTAGAATCTTAAGCTTGACTCCTTTGTACAAAATGGTAAAACACTCCGTGGACCGAAATCACAAAAAATTGGGAACAATATTCTTTTGTACTGATAGGTATAGGGACTGAGTACCAGGGGCAACCACTCTTTTTCTTCTAAATAGTATAATGGTAGCGAAAAAAATAAGAAAGAATGGTTTTTAAAACATCTTAACTTTGGAAGAATGAGTATCAATGCAATATTCATTTTCAATATGAAAGTCTTTACTAACACTCAGTTGGTTATAAGTGCTTCATCTATAAAGTTAACAATCGTTACATGTTTATCTAATTTTACAGATAGATTTTTTAAAAAATTGTTTTCACATGTTTATGTAATCAATCACAAAAGTATTATTTTGATAATGCACAGGGGTCTGTCCAGACATTTTGTGAAAGGTCCGTTTTTGTAAAATTGTGAAAAAATTACTCGTAATTTGCGAATATAAAAGAAACGTTAAGTCGCATTCTTTCAACCAGGGTCCCGCTTTTGTGAATTTGTGCAAATAGGGTCCTGTTATTGAAAAAAAACTTTTTAAAGGAGTTTAAATTGTAAAAAGATACAAGATTATGCTCAACACTGTAAAATTATAATAAAAAAATTTAATTTTAAACGATAAACAGCAATTACTGCAACTAAATTAGAGATGCAACATACAAATATTTGGTATTTAGCCTATACTGCTGAACGCAGAATATTCATTTCGTACGAATAAAGGAAGAAGCGTCTGCGGAAGACAGAACTTTAGTTCGTTTACATCTGTCTTTCTTTCCCCTCTCCCTGGGAAGGGTTTATTCGATTAACAAAACAATAATGAAGATAAACAAATTTGTGAAGGGTCCGTTTTTACGTTAAAATATTTTGTGAAGGGTCCGTTCTTATTAAAAGATATTTTGTGTAGGGTCCGTTAACGGACCCAAATTTCTTCTAAACAGACCCCTGATGCATATAACAAAAGCTTTTCAAAATTAAAAATATACATAGAAAATTTACACAAGCACAAAAGTTCCTTAACTTTCTTGATTGATACTACCTAACTTCATACCACCTTTCTTGATTCATACCATCTTGATTTGCTTAACATGCCAATTTCTATTCAAAACACCATATGGCATACACAAATAAAACTTCAATGAGTACTTTTGTAAGTAGACTGTAGCATTTCAAGTCATTACATTTATATTTAAGGAACCGCTGTACTAACTAATATATTGTTACATAACCAATATTTTTTTATATGAATTACCAATTTCAAAATCTATCTTTGAGCAAGATACATCCACGTGCTTGATATTGTATTCTAAAAAATTTCTGACTACATTTTATTTTACGCATGGATAAAATTTCAGTAAAATAGAATTCGGCATATTATTAGAGATATTTTATTATTGATACTATAACTCTTAATCCTTTAAAATGATATTTAATGTTTTTGAAAAACAATGCATTCACAAATCAAAGACTCATAATTTCAAAAAGTACAGTCCATTTATCCATAGATAATTTTTGCACATCTCCCATTTTAAAGTTGTGCGCTTTGATCATGAGTTTAATAGAAAATGAAAGTTTCTTTTATGATTTAAACAAGTAAGAAAATTTTATATAAATCTACACTATCTTTTATACAAAAGAATATTTTAATATTTAAAAGTACAAAAACTGTATAAAGGAAAATAAATTTGTACATTCAAATTATTTCATGTTTACGTAAACAAATGATATTTTAAAGATATGGATAAATGATTTTTATATAAGCTACAATTTTTTTTAACTAAGCACTGTGGGATAAATGGCAATTTTTAGAGCAATCATTTCAGCTTCTTAATTCCTTTATATATTCCCCATACAACAACAACAACCCCAAGAACACGAAGAGCAACATAGGCATTATTTCTCCCTCGCACGACTTGTTTGATTGCTTTCTCCTGTTAAAGAAATAAAAATAATCACTCATAACCTGTCAATATTACATTTAAAAAAAGATATCCAAAGGTAATTTTTAAAAAAAATTGTACAATAAATAGTTTCATTACTGTATTTTTTTTTAAAAAAAATAATACATAAAAACTAATAAAAGTTACTAGCGACTTATAGAATTTACTTAATGGATTATAAAATTTACTCACAGAATTCAATGAACTTAGAATGAATTTATTAAACTTATTGAATTTAATGATATGAAAAATTCCTAAAACAACAAATCAAGTAGAATAGACAAGATACTTCAATTACTCTAGAATAATTTGTGGTGGGCCTCTGTAATTAAAATGTTTGCTATATTATGTTTTTTCTTTTAAAAAAACTAATCCAATGTTTAAAGAGTTGAAGCAGATAAAGTACAATGAAGAGCCGCGATGGCTTAGAAGATAAAGCGTTCGCCGTCCAATGCGGCGAACCGGGTTTGAATCCCAGTCGATACGAATTCCACATCCGGCTTGAACCGATTGCAGTGCTGACGTGAAATATCCTCAGTGGCAGACGGATCATGGGTTACAGTCCCCTTGCCGTCAGGCTAACCGTGGGAGGTTCTGATGGTTTTCCTCTCCATGTAACGCAAATGCGGGTTAGGTCCATCAAAAAGTTCTGCACAAAGGCAAATTTCTCCCAATACTCGATCCAGGAGTTCCCTTGTCTTCTGGATTGGGTTCAAAATTACAAGGCTGTGGAGTTGAAAATTAGTAGTCATAAACCCATAAAATTGGGACGGCTGTTCAACGACGGTTATAAAGTACAATAAAGAACCATGGATTCATATTTGTTAACTTCTAAACGAAACCTATATATTTTTGTTTCAGTTATATCTCTCAATCTTCTCATATTTTACCTGATTTCGAACATATCTTTGAATCAAAGTTTAAGGACACATTTAGTTTGTCCAATACAAATAAGACCACATTAGTAATAATAGTGATAAAAGTGTACGAATTAGACTTCAAAGATATTAATTCAGAAAGAGCAATTTTTCTAAGATCATTGGTAAAAGATCTAGCATTTAAATTAACAATGCTGGAATCAAAATGAAAAATTTATTCCTTTTCAGAGGTATTGAGAACACTAAATTTAAAAGCTCTCTAAATAATGTCAGGTAACTTAGGTATTGATGATCAGTAGAGTAGAACGAAGTTGTTATTAAATTTAAACGCATTGAGTTGGCTATTAGTTTAGAGCAACAGAAGAGAGATTAACAGCAGAATAATGGTACAAATTTTGTTGAACACAAGCGGATGTTGAAGTTCAACCAAGCCCAGTTGTCACGACTTAGCAAGGCTGAGAAAAGGAAGTAAAAAAAAAGCCTGACACCATCCTTTCATTGTACTGTTTTACATCATTACTTGATCTTTTGCAATAATTTTGAAAAGTAACAATGCTTTCACTAAGATGCATAACTTTTTTTATTTTTAACAAAACATATTAAATTTCAAATTTTAAAAACAAGAAATTTTACATTAAAAAATCTAATGGGAAAGAGATATTAATTGATGAAATTTAGTCAATTGATTTTTCTCAAAACTGATTTCAGTTCTCAGGACAGTAGAGTGGCACCCATACATTGCCGTTTTTATTTGATGCAGGTGTTTGTTTATTAATTGAAAGCCTTGATTGTTTGAACATATAGTTTGTCTACGATAATCACTCCCCCGTCACAAAGTCTGAGACCGTCTGCTGCTATGGAAACAAGAATTAGTGTATTTCAGGGAGGAAAGCTTCTCTTCACTCTAAAGCTAACACAATACACCGAAGAAAAAAATTTCCTTCCTCTCCCCGACCCAACCTGTCCTAAACACTGACTCCACACTGCTACTTGAAATAGTTATACCTCGTTACCATAGTCACCGCCATGGGTCCAGACGAATGGCTAGGGGAGTTTTTACTTTAGATAAACTATAACTCTTCTTGTTTTGAAATTCTGTGTTTAATCTATCAATAGATAGAATTTTTAATGAGAAATTAATAGATGGATAANTTCAAAATAATTTCAATTTTAAAGTGTTTAACTTTATTACATCTTCGCTAATTTAAACATACTGAAAAGAAAACCACATAACACTTGAAAAAACAAATGGTACAAAATCTCAATTTAATTAACACTAAAAAAAATTATCGTTTTAAACACATTCCAATATTAAGAAACAAAAATAAATTATTGCATAAATTATGAATAGGAAAATAACAATGTCTGCTGAAACTAACAGTATTTTAAAAAGAAATCTGTTTAAACTGGGAATATTTAAGAAAAGAAGTAGGGGAAAAAATTTAGTTATAACAAAAATATTTATATTGGTCAATAACTTTAAAAAGAAAAATAACTATAAAGTTACTCATTCCCGCCATCCAGCCAACACCCCGTTGTTGGCCAGGGAATAATGGAGTTAAAGACTTCACAATTTAGTGACCAACGACATCATATAGGCAATGAGTATTACGCACCGATCGCCTTTACTTATCAGAGAAGCTGAGCCCCAATCAACTCGTAAATCACAGCGACGGCTCAATGCTTGAACCACTAAACCATAACGAACAATTAATATCGCAATTTCAAAATGCTTCAGTTTATAGTAAAAAATTGCACATTAAATTACTCCGTAATTTTTAAAATCACAAATAATTGAAACAGTTTGATTTTTTTTTCCTTTTAATTTTACTTAAACTAGAAACAACAAATACAAATAGAAGAAACACGTAATAGGTAAACATAAATCGAAGAAAAGCGAGAAATAGAAATTTTTACGAAAATTAATGGCGTAAACCATTATTATGATAAATAAAATGTTTAATAACTTGAAAAGACTTAACTATAATAATAATTTATGCAATTTGAATACAAATTAAATATTTCAGCACACACATTAAGCTTTAAAAATATAAAATTACTGGTTTTTCTTAAAAGTTTGGATTATGAAAACTGAAAGTAATTTGCTGAATATGAAAGAGTTTCCTCTAAAACATTTAAGTGATTTTTAAATTACTTTAATTGTATTCAATATTATTAAATTGCTGTTTAAATTGTTTGGGATAAGAAGATCAACACTAACTGAAAAAAATTATGTAGTATTTTTGTATAGAACAGTGCGGATGAATTTTTGATTTTGTTTGACATATTAAAATATATGAAAATGAGGAAACAATTTTTAGAAATAATAAAAATCATATAAACATTTTTTTTTAAGAAAATAGTAATTAGTTTGACAAATTTAGAATGTTCCAATATTATGTCACATTCGGAATTTATCTAAAGAAGCAACATTGATTTCACAAAAATGAATCAGTCTTATACAAATTAAGTGAATAATTTTTTATTTTGTTCATATTTATGTTGACACATTTTAGACACACAACAGAAAAAGATAAAAATACAAAAATCTATATTATATAATTTAATATATTACACTAAATATACTATATCGAATATTTTGTATTAAATATATTGTATCAAAAATAATATTTAAAAAACGAAAAATGAATAAGTTTATCAAATTTTATAAGCAAAAAATCCATAACAGTCACTATTCTTACATAATTGATAATAATTTAAATGTAAATTTATACGATAGTAAATCTTTTTTCTCTTCCAGTAAAATGTATTTTAAACTAATAATATTTTCAAAAAATTAAAAACAACAAAATAATTTTTTTTTGAATTGAAATATATATTTAACTTTGATAAGCATAAATTTATCTCTATATTATTTAACAAATACCTCTAATTTCATACCGACTTTCAAAGCTTGGCTTAAATCTTAGGCTTGACTCTTTTGCACAAAATGATACAACACTGCGTGGACTAAAATCACAAAAAAAATTGGGAACAATATTCTTTTGCACTGATAGGCACTGAGTAACAGTAGCAACCACTCTTTTTCCTCCAGCTAGTATAATGAGAAAAAAAAAGATAAGAAAGAATGGTTTTTAAAACATCTTAACTTTGGAAGAATGAGTATCAATGTAATATTCATTTTGAATATGAAAGTCTTTACAAACGCTCAGTTGGTTATAAGTGCTTTATCTATAAAGTTAACAATCGTTCAATGTTTATCCAATTTTACAAATAATTTTTTTTTTAATTTTTTCACATGTTTATGTAATTAATCACAAAAATATTATTTTGATAATACATATAACAAAAACTTTTCAAAATTAAAAATATACATAGAAAATTTACACAGGCACAAAAATTCCTTAACTTTCTTGATTGATACTACCTGACTTCATACCACCTTTCTTGATTCATACCATCTTGACTTGCTTAACATGCCAATTTCAATTAAAAGTACCATATGACATACAAAAATAAAAGTTCAATAAGTACTTTTGTAAGTAGACTGCAGCATTTCAAGCCATTACATTATTTATTTTAGGAACCGCTGTACTAACTAATCAATATATTATTACGTAACCAATAATTTTTAATATAAATTACCAATTTCAAAATCTATCTTTGAGCAAGATACTTCCACGTGCTTGATATTCTATTGTAAAAAATTTCTAACTGCATTTTATTTTACACATGGATAAAATTTCAGAAAAGTAGAATTTGGCACATTTTAAGATATATTTTAAAATTAATACTATAACTCTTAATCCTTTAAAATGATATTTAATGTTTTTGAAAAACAATGCATTCACAAATCAAAGACTCATAATTTCAAAAAGTACAGTCTATTTATCCATAGAAAATTTTTGCACATCTTCCATTTTAAAGTTGTGCACTTTGATCATGTGTTTAACAGAAAATGAAAGTTTCATTTATGATTTAAACAAGTGAGATAACTATATAAAAATCTACACTATCTTTTATACAAAAGAATATTTTAATATGTAAAAGTACAAAAACTGTATAAAGGAAAATAAATTTGTACATTCAAATTATTTCATGTTTAAGTAAACAAATGATATTTTAAAGATACGGATAAATGTTTTTTTACAT